TATATATATATATATATATATATATATATATATATATATATATATATATATATATCTGGTATATTTTTTTGTTTAAAGTTTAACACTTCGAGAAAATAGACCAATTTATTCATGGAACATTCGTGTTTTCTTATTTTTTACATTAATGTTAATAGTTTTGCGATATATAATAAAATATATGCTTAGAACATTATGCAAAATCATCATGTATTGTCGATAATACAATAACGTAAATTGCTCCTTTATTTAATATATAGAATGTTCTAAAACCGGATAAACATTTATCGATTTCGTGGAGAAATGGTGGAATCGATTATTACTTGACGAACACTCGAGTAAAATACGTTTTTGTAAAAACTTGAATCCCAATATTAAATATTCTTTAATATCTGTGCCGGTATAAACATTTTAAACAAAATTTCTTTTAAAATATAGTTCTGAGATTAATACTGCAATTCTAGGCAGAATCGTAAGTCTCGTAACTTGTCCTCGTAAAATTCGTAAGAATTTATGAGTATATTTACAATTGCAATATCATATGTCGTACAATCACTTGTAAATATCGTAAATTACATGAAATCGTAGATATTTACGAGTAATTGTAAGACATATAATATTGCATAGAATTGTAAATCTACTCATAAGTTCTTACTTTACGTATTTTACGAGAACAAGTTACGAGACTTACGAATCTGTTTAGAATTGCAATATAAATCAACATTTATCATTCGTTATTTATTTTTACTTTTACAGTTAAATTACCAGAAATTCCTAAATATTTGCAATTGTTCGACAATTATAAGTGCCTCGACATTTCTGTTAAGAAAAGATTTATTCTAAATTGCTTAATGGAACATCCTATATATGTGAAATAAGTAGCAGTACAGTTATCTTTTAAATCACGTACGTACCTTGTGTTGTGCAGCAATGTTATATAAGTCTTCAGCTGTATAATGGTCTACATGCAACGTATTATAAAATGTACGAAAGAATAACGAAACGTTGCAATTTGTTAAATTCAGAAACGCAATAACGTATACAAGTCTCTTGTCAATAGCATTATTGCATTATAAAACGATCGTTCATAATGGTTTCTTGTAACATCTGTTTCTGCTAGATACAATTTATGCATTTCAGAATTTTTCTTTGTAGTATCTTACATTTAGTTGTATATGATACAAAGAATGTAGATATATTGTGCCTTTTTGTATATTGTACATTTGTATATAGAAATATTTTATACGAATTATTATCACGATGTAGTTTATTCATAAGAACAATAAATAACTTTGAAAAATATGAATGATTCGTGATCATTGATATATTTTCGTCACAAGTCATTATCTTACACACACACTCACACACATCACAAATGTACGATAAATATGTTTACTAATTTCTCATACAATAAATGGGACAACACGTCTATGTAGTGAGAGATGTACTATTATATTTATTCATTTATATATCCGGTTTTATACAAATTAAAGCATATTGCTAATTTTTATAACTTATATAACGAAATGCACATTATTTACATTTTTGCAAAAAAAATACACAAGACACGTTGATGCTTCAATCCTAAAGGTTTTGCGAGACAGTAGCTTTTTTCCGTCACAAATCGCTAATGGACGATATTGCTAAGTAATACTTACAACACAAAAAATATTTTATCTAAACATCACATTGGCAATTCATCTACAATCGATGGTAATTACATTTTATAATTACTTAAGTATATTATATATTACAGCGAATATTTACATTTCCTTTTCTCTCTTTCTCCTAGTAGTATTTAGTATCAAAAACGTACAAAAGTAAAAATATAATTCCATTCTTCGAAAAGCTTGAGATATGTCGTCAATCAGAGAAAGGCTCGTAGAACTGCAGTCTTTTGCTGTAAATTTATGTAATAAGAATAATTTTTATCAGAATCGGCATTCGAACTTTTGATTCGTATGTATTCCTGTATGTCCTTTTCTGTAAGTTTCATAGCTTAATACATGTCGATTATTATAGTATAAAATGCTATTGTTACGTGTTAATGCGTTATAAGTATTCTTGACAAAGTGTGAGGTGTTTGAGGAATGTAGTAAGTATTTCGCAAAAATGTCATTTCCGAAAAAACGTCTCAAATATTTGAGGCAACTGTAAATCTCACTTTCGTTCGCGCAGCGTAATGGGCTGCACGCTTCGTACGGACATTCAACCGTAAAGTTACATGGAATATCTATACGTAGTCAATTATCACTTCTGTAATATACGTACGACCTTAATTATTTCCGTGTTGCAAGAAAATACATCGTTGCAACCATCGTGATACGAAAGATTGTAGACATTTATTTACGACTCGTATGCAACGCTGACGTTCCTTTCTCAAGCTGGATACAACCTGTAATATAACTCCCATGTAACGAATTTCTTGGCTTTCGTTACACGTCGTTGGAATGTCACAGATACTGTGTTGTAAATTTCTTAAAAACCTGCGACTGCCCCTAGATCGATTCCATAGACAAACTTACACTAACGGGTTACACGTTCGTTTCGTTCACTTTGTATAGCATTCATCTAGGATAAGAGATATAAACAATTTAATCAAAATTAACGTATTCATTTGATATGAAAATTATAAATATCTTTAATATACGTATAACAATCAACAACAACTAAGTTTAAATAATTTCATGTTTGTATATCTTATGTGTCGAACAGAAAATGAGAACAGAACAAAGTGATATGTCGCTTAAATCGATATACACGCAAATTTAGAATAAAAATGTCAAAGAACAGTATCGAAAGAAATGCAAAGAAATGCATTAATTAAGAATACATTATTATGCTAGATCGAAAAAGGAATTATATGATTTTAACTATGAGATTCTCGTTAAACATTATAAGTGGAAAGGTCATTAGTATGTCATAAATAAAGAGCGTAACTCTATGCGCTATTGTCGCTCCGTGAGTTATTAACACATTCAAAAATTTTACATTGTAAAGCTCGTGTAAATTCGAAGTTCATGACAATTGAACTTTCAGCACCACTAAATGACTCCTGCGCGAAAAATCCAGTTCAATTGGACGTACTGAATATATTGTCGTTCGATTCTTCTTAAATTTGTATTCTCGTGACAAAGCATTATCGGACGTAGAAAAGCTTCTAAAAATTGGAAAAGTGACGCAGTGTATAAGTAGCATATTTAACTGTGTGCTGTGTGTCTCTTAGAATACTCTCGAAAGTACCCGATTGTTTATTGGTATTATTTCGCCGACACGGTTCGCGTCTGCGTTAAACTGAGTTACAATGAAACGTCGATTGTTGCGCGGTCCATCGTTACAAGGCATTTCTTCTCTAGAATTGAAGCACTTTGTAGACGTGTGGAGATGCAAATTATAATTCAAGCTCTTCGGCAGTGCGTGAGAGTCTATGATTATCGATGCGCCTTCGTTGGCTACGCCTCACAGCATCCGCTCTGCGATACGGTTCGGACCTGAGACCGAGAAGAATATCCTCCAGGGCGCCATTATACACCTCGTCCTGCTGCAACAGCTTCTTCTCTTGCACTAACCGTGTCTTGTTTTTCAGTTCATTTATGACAGCATCCTGGTGATACGAAAATAGGAGTAACGTATTATCAAATATATTTAAAGTCTAGATATATGTTATTAACAAAATATTACTATAATATATTCTTATCGAATTTTCAATATAACAATTATGCATTATACTAGAGAAGAGAATCGCGTCTGAATTGGTTTTTAACGTTTATAAGAAATCTGTCAAGTAAATCTTGAGTAATTTTTATGTAGATTACGTTGATCATAGTTTTGTTATATGATACAAAGTTTTATGGCAGTAGAGCAAAGAAAAGTGATGATAGAAGAATTCTCTCAAGCAACATCAATGCGAATTAGAACATGCTAATGCATATTTTGAAGCATTAGTAATGTAACAAAATGTCAATATGTATATGCCAATACAATCTTCTTTTATCAATGACATTAAATGATATATATGCCATTAGAAGTATTATTAGCAATTAACTGTACGAAGTAACTTTATATATCTACTTGAATTAGATAATAACTTATTTAAAGAGTTTAAAAATATATACAATTTATGTATAAATTTAATTGATAGTTTAAATGATACAAATTAACGAAATTATAATAAAATTGTTTCTTTTAGCTTTAGTGTACCTCATATGAATCAAATATATTTGTAAAAGGTACAAAAAAGAGAGGCTTGTCAAATTGTACATACAATAATAAGAAAAAGTTTTGATAGTAATAAAAAGAAAAACTAAATCTATATGCTGTGTCAAGTGCGGTGTATGTATGGACATTAGAAACCATATGTCAATAGGAGGAAGTGAGTAAGGACAGACTTACATGTTGTCAATTGTTTCTACATTGTTACGTTCTGAGCTCCAGTTCATTAAGATGGCGGTGTAACAGACTCTTGTTCGTGTTACAGCAAAATTTCGGTGACTTTAAATCCAAATAAATATGTAACAAATAAGAAAACAGATGTTCATGAGATGTATGGTGCTCTCAAGAAATGGAATCGCTAAAAAGACACTCGTGAGATAACCAGAATCGTTGATAATCTCTTTAACATGTCATGCCATTTCACAACATGCAGAAGAAGAGAGAAATGGTTCCTATATTTATACATATAAACGTTTATCAATTACTTCTCACATTATTTAAATATTATAAGATATCGTATAATTGACTTGTGAAAATATATCGGTAAAACAGTTTATAAATTGAGACTGACAAGAATCTCGACAATAAGAAACTGTATTCAATACATGATTAGTGACACAATTAAAATTTGAAAAGTTCTTTGCTTTTTAATCTGTCATTATTTTCAACGAGATAGTTTTTGAATGTGTATATTAGAGTATATAATCATGTTATTAAAATAATATGTAGTTTTTATTTGACAAAAACCAACAACATATCCATGCAACAAACATATAAAATCAATCAAAAAGAGAGTAAGCATAGCTTAGAAAGCATAAGTTTTTTGTGACATAAACTATCAAACAAATTCATACCATGAAATGAAATAATACATTTGTGTAAATTCATTGAGTTGGATATCACAAACTTTTATTCAGGTGAAAATATCAATTTATAAAGATGCTGTTCGTCTGTTTCCTTATAAGTTTCAATCGTAAAGTTACTTTCGCGATGTGTAAAGAACATTAATTTCAAGTGAATTTGCAGCATTGATGTAGAAGAGAAGTTCAAAGAAATATGAATAGATGATGATGATGATGATGCAATGTGTATGTATGAATTTAAAGAATCTGATGCGTCTAAATATTATAGCTACAACGATAAAGTAGTATTAGTAGAGATGAAGTTTAGTAGGAGGATAGCATTGTCAAATCTCGAATTTCCTTCGTCAAAATCTCAATGAGTTTAACGTGCGCGAAATAATAAACGATTTGCCACAAAATCGTATAACGTTAATGAAACTAATTCAGAACACAATTGTCAATATATACTTGACGCTTTGCAAAATATCCTTTACGCCAGAAAGTAAAGGTAATGCGCAAGTAATATGAATTTGCAGTTATATATAATAAACGCGTTCAGAGAAATCGCGCAGAAAAATGTGCACGCGTTAAAAAACGAAACGTCTCTAAATCGGTATATCTTAAGCACAGCATGCTGGATATATGAACATTGTAAGAAAAACACGAGAGCTCGCTCCAAATCTCACTCGTCAAATCGCGATACGAATGCTCACGCGTGTAGAGCGCGAAGAGCAGTGCGACATACCTGTTGCTTCTTCTGATTTAATTTATTACGTTTTATAACTTCCTCCGACGCGTTCAAAGCTTCCGCAGCAGCAGCCTCTAATCTACGACGCTGTTCATTTTCTTGATCCGCAGCCTGCAAAGTGAGCGATACATTTTAAGTCTGTTCTTTTTAGCTGAACTAGATTGCACTTTCTTCCTTTAGTGAAATAAATATAATAATCGTGTATCAGAGGGAAAAGGAATATTTCGACGTAGTAATAGTATACTCAAAAGAAAAAATAAACCTATTGTTTTACTTAATTTACTGTGTTTTAAAAACGTACTTTGTGTTTTAAACGTACGTTTAATCGTACTGTTTTAAAAACATCATTTTGTTATGGAATATATACAATGAAGATATCTCATTGAGAGAATGTAAAAACGCACCTTGAATGCTCTCGCGAATCTAACAAGGAGAGAGAAGAAAGTGTTAGCATCAGCCTGCCTCGGGCTTTCCCCGAAGAATTCGACACATTCTCGGAACGCTTCGCCGGCAGTGCGTGCATCAAGCTTCAAACGGCGCAACTTTTCTTCGGAGTTGTTTAGGAAGTCGCGCAATACCGTGTTGTGCTTCTCCTTGCCGCGCAACTCGAATTCTTTTCGCACGAGGTCCATTCCTTTCTCGAGCTCGTGAACATCGGTTGTTATATTCTCCAGTGACACTGCAATTATAATATAGTTCATATATATTAATAATATTACGATAAAGATGCAAATTGAATACTCATATGAATACTCATGAATAAAATTCATAAATACAAAATACATGTGAATGTCATATAATAAAAAAACGTAAGATATAACATACAATCTTATATAAATATTTAATAAGATAATAATAATATACCTGTTGCTGCTTTGTCGATGTACATCAATTCCGATTCGAAATTAATAAGTTCCGGAAATTTGACGCGTATGGTGGCGACGATATAATGCAAAAGGCACATCCTTTTATCTGTCGATTTCGTATCCAATAATGTATCTAAGCTTTGTAATTTGAAGCCGTACGCGGGGCCTCGTTTGCTACTGTTCAGATAGTTTCCGAAGGCAAGAATGATTTCTAATACTGCTCTTAACTTCTTTGAACTCTTAACCGAACTGGACGCAGATATCACAGCATGTATTTGTGGCGTAATGAGGTGTAAATTGTCGAAAAAGTTCCCAATGTAATTCATAATTGACAATTTGGTAGATATCCTTTCTACCTTACCGAGTTGCATCAAAAACTTATCTTCCTCTGTCAACAAGTTGACGTTCTTCTTCTCTATGATGTACTCGCGGTAAGCCTTTATCTGAAGAAGTGTATATCGCTTATTAGTCTTTAAAAGGCGATTGAAGAAGATAGTATAATTGTACACTTAGAATCGAGTAAGGACAAGCATACCTCTTGGTCCGTAGGTACCATACGTTGTAACAATTCCACATTTTCGAGCGAAAGGACCTTCAAGTCGAGGGCATTCACCGCCATTATCACTTTCTCGACTGGCATTTCCATCTTTCGGCGCGATATAGCTAAGAAGAATGCAAAGATCACGATTATCTTCCGGCGTTTTACGTCAACGAAGCTGATATCTCATAGAAACTAAACCTTTACCGATATTTCGTAGTCTCGTGTGCTCCAAAAGCGATACGTTCTCCGGTTTTTTAAATCGTTTACTGGGAAAGCTCTGGAGCCCGTCGATCTCGTTGTTACCGTTCGCCACGTGTCCGCTCATACCAATCTTAAATCGCTCTTCGAAGTCGGAGAAGTCGATGTAGTTATGTAGACGATCGTCGTCTAATTCATTGAAGATAGTACCCCGCACTTGATTTGGTTTCAGAGCGATCCAATTAAGCGTAGGAAGTTTGTACTTTGTTTGGACCTTGTGGAATGGAAATACAATTGGTTAGAAATCAGTGATCTTGGGAGCAATTGAAATCTTCAAATATATATAGACAAAACAACACATGTGTGTAAATCCTTAAAATATCCTTTAAAATAAAACTTTGTTACTTTTCTGTTTGAATGATAATTAAAATGAACAATTGCTATTTATTAACGACTCGACGCTGTTTATTAATATCATCACCGAGAGATTACGTGTTGTCCATTTATTGAGCAATCTCAATTGCTCAACTCAATCTAAATTTTAGATCCATATTGCCGACATCTTATTTCACAACGGTGAAGAAGTAGGATTAACGAAATACATACTTTTCGTTTAATAGTCATCGCTCCATCGGGTGCTTGCATCATGCCAGCGGGTGGCGGAGGTATTGGGACAGGCGGCGGTAACTTGTGATCTCCGGGTGAGAGGGGTGCCATAGGAGGCGGCGGTGGACACGGCGGTGGAGGAGGTGGCGGCGGCGCCGGGGCCGGTGGAGGTGCATGATCTGGCGACGGCGTTGACATGAACGGTGGAGACGTCACGCTGTCCGAATTGTTCAGAGGACTCGTCGCGGTTCCGTTCCGTAGACTAGCGACTGAAACATCGTCAGACCTCCGTGAGACCTCGACTTGCCATCGATTATTACGCAAACAACTTCAACTACACTAAGAGTATCGTTAATTACGAAAATCTTTTTAGTTAAAAATAAAAAAATTACTTGTACCTCTGTTTTCCTCGCAAAATTTCTTGTCTATTGATTAAACTAAGAAATTAAGACATTGTTAACCAATTAAAAAAAAATTAAAATCAGAGAAAAAGAGAGAATGTCACATTTCTTGAGAGACGTACTAGTAAAATAACATTGAAAAGCGTTGAGTAAAAAACACGTAACGACTAAGTCACGATATCTTCTTCATTGATACCGTAAATCAGCTACCACAGACAGTTTACCTGAAGAGCCTTTCGTGAGGGTACCCGTGAGAGTCTCCAATTCGATGATCTTGTTCTCCAAAACACTTTGCCTCCGGGCGGAATCCTGCCTCTGTCGTTTTAGAGCCGTGAGTTCCTCCTCCACTAGCCTACGCGCTTCCAAGGCGTCGGCGTATTCTACTTTCAACGCGCCCAATTCTGTTTCCAATTCCGCCAGTTTCGCCAACGACTCCCTATCCAACTCTGCCATTCGGTCGTGCGCCTACAAAATAATGTAACGTAATTGTATTCATCTATTTAATATATGAGTTTTCGAGTAAAAGTGGAGCGAGTCCGTAGTTTGACGACGATGTATTTCTCAAGTATGTAAAGTGGATCTCGGTCTACTTTTACTTCGCGTACACTTCTCACGCGGTAACACGAAAAGAGTCAAGTTAGAAGATGCAATATGTCGCTTACATGGCCAAGTTCGTCCTCTAATTCCGCTACTTTTTCTAACGCTGCAGTCTTAGTTTCGCTGTCCTCCATCAAGGCAGCTACGTCAAACACGTTATCTAGGTAAGCAGAGATCTGAACCTGCAAAGAGGATAATTTATGAGAATTTATGCAAAATATTACTTCTAATGCTTTTAATGGAAATAATGTTCAACAATGTCGTGTCAAATTTACATAAAATACGCTTTTCTGAATTAAAAACGCAAAGAAAAGAGTAACTTATCGCATGAATGAATGAAACGATTTTATATTTCGCGATATATTATATATGTGTATCACGTATTTTTTCTGGAAAAATTTTAATATGAAAACCAAATAAAATATTTCATTAAGATTAAGTCAAGAGATTCTTATCTTGAAATGTTCAGCGTGGAAATTTTCGACTAAACTTGACCGACCTGTAAATCTTCGCTCTCCGTATGCCTAAGTTTCTCGAGATATTCGTCTAACCCGAGCTTCGTGAATTCGTATTGCAGATGCACCCTGAAGTTCATATCCTCGACGGAATGTACGACGATATTGACGAATTGCATACAAGCGACCATGAATTCTATGTGGAAGCTGTCATATTGAGTGAAATACGCCATGAGCGTCGTGAATCTTCTCCTCTCGCAGCAGACTTCTTTAAAGTTGTCGAACGCCGACAGAATGATCTCATGGCCACCCTTCACCAGACAGATCGCGGCGAGCAACTCCAGCACGAGAGCTTTCGTTCTGAAAACAGGAAAAGAAACAATGTAGTCTATTGTAGTGTCGCGGCACATTGTGCGTGTAAGAATCAGGAAACTGGCAAGACATCAATATAACGCCGTTGACACATAAAATTCTTCGCTTAGAGTAGCTTGTCGGGCAACAGTTAAGTAAGAGCTTGCGTCGATGCGAATATAAAGTAAACAACTAAAAATTGGCGGCGCGCGCGCGCGCGTCGGAAATGCTATTTCGCGCGTTGCCGTGGCTATCGGCTCGGCAAGACACAAACGCGGACAATAATAGACAATAGACAATACGTGACTCACCTTAGACTTTTATGGATTAAGCTCAATGCGATGCAGTTGATAGCTTCTCTGTGTTGGATAACCATGTTAAATCCGTACTGCGAAAGATCGACGTAACAATGAGTCAATGAGTCAATGAGTCAATGTGTGTGTAGCCGTGTAAAGTCGAGTATGACGTTTCACGTGCATATTTTTTAACCGTAGATATTTTCATAAAGAAAGAAAACGTACTCGAGAAGCGAGGAAACGTGAATCCAAAAGTTTTTTTCGCTGGAAACTTCGTATCCAGAACTCTCTTCACGAATGTTGATTTTTAAATTATATAAATTAAGTAAAAAAAAAATAACTTATTAAAAAATCATTCATACAATATCACAGCGCGATTTTATCGCGCAGTAGTTCGTAATTTTGGATTCGACCGCCTTCTTGTGCGCTTCTCGAAAATGCAGGATCAAGCTTGGAAAAACGCGTCAGATTCTCACCTTATTATTCATGATGGCACGCATGCAGAGTATGCAAACATGAATATCATCCTTAGCTTCGCCCATATTTAGGCGCGCCACGTGTCTGGATCTTCTCTTGACACCGGGGCTGTCTTTGAGTTCGTGAAGTGGCGGCCTCAGGCATCCGTTATTCAACGTCGAGGTATCACCACCACCTGTGCTACCTGCGTATCAATACATTACAATCAATTATCTCTTTATCTTCAAAAAGTCACTCCTCGAAGATGAGATAATCGTGAAATAATGATAATACAAGTAAGTCCAATCGCGTATCATCTTGCGACGCGTCTTAATTTTCACATACGAGATAATTTGCAATAATTAATTACACGTCTGCCTATTCGAAGAGGAATCTTTTTATTCCAAGATATTTCCAATAAAAAGACAGATATAGCATCACTTTTGGATTATTTCCACGACGCGATTGAAAGAATTAAGCGATCATGGATGGACGCGAAATTTGATTTCTCGTAATTATATTTGTCCTTACTCCACAATTAGTCGCGGCTAAAAGTATCGTACGCGTTGTCATCTCTAACAGGTTAGCGCACATCTAATTTATTATAATTATCTAATGACCGATAGTGGAGAGGGTCCGTTTCTACTTTTTGGTCCTCTCTAATCGGCTTCTTACCGGTTTGTAATTTTTCCTCGGAACTCGTATGAGATTCCAAGAGCCGTTGCTCATGCCGCATCATCAATAGCCTGAAGCTGAGATAGTCTATCAAAGCATCCAAGCCTTGATTTTCTTCGTCCAAGAACTCTCTCACCCATCTACAACACTGTTCAGCTCAGAATACAGGCTTTCGAAAGGTCTTGATATCGCGAATAAGCAAAAATCTCGAAGTGCACGAATTACTTTCACATATAATTAATCGACACAATCACTTATATAATTACGATTAACGATCGACACGACTGTATAATTTATGGACGGCAAAGTTGAAGAAAACGCTTTGCTCTAAATATTTTTCTTTTAGCGTGGTTAGAAATACTAAGAGATTAAAGCGTTTATAAATTCTGGTTGAATTTTACTTTAGAAAAGAAAAAAAGAGTAATTTAAGAAAAAGAGTAGTTTTTTTTTTGTGTCAACCAAGAAATTTGCAAAATATAGTTTTCTTTTTGATTTCAATTCTTGATTGCGCTGATCTATCGATTCGTTGCCTAAAAAATGCATTTTTTCAGGCAATGAATCGCAGGGCTAATGTATGATGTTGCAACGTAACCAAGAATTGGTTACTGCAGCCAGAAATAAAAGCTATGCTATACTATTTTCTGGTTAAAACAATCATTTTTTTGTGTATATCATCTATGTGATTTTCCTTATTGTGCGCGCGATTTTTGACAAAATGTTTAAAACGGTGCGACTGAAACGCTCATCGTGTATGTTGTCGAGATAAAATAGCAATAATAATTATTGAATTCTCTTACTCAATGTGATTTGTACGTAGGGATATTTCTAAGTCTCGCAGTACTTGGGTAGACGTGGATTCCCCAACCATTTTTCTTTTCTGGAAGAATGTAAGGAAACGATACGACTGTGTAATCATTAGTATCCGTCTGATGAAACTCCTTGCAGACGACTACGTAACAAGGTATTGCAATTAATATTACGAAATCAAATGAAAGATGGAAGAAAATTTGCGCGGCACAAAATTGACTTACAGCAATCTGGGAACGGATGCAATTTTCGCTGTATATTTAACGTTGAAAATTTGACCGGTCGATGATCTCGTACAATTTGATATTTTTTCGATGCGACGTGAAAATTAAACATGTGTGACGTTAAATGTACGAACAGTGATGTTTCTTATGTATTTAAAGAAAATGAATTTTCTCTCGTGGAATATAACAAATCGAATACGCGTGATCGAAACGTATCACGATATTCAGAAAGAAACTTAGAAAAATAATGATACTAATAAAATAAAGTAACATACTCGATGGCTTCGTGATGCTTTGGGATCCAGGTAGGTACGCAATTTCGCTAAGTAATGGGCAGGCGGATCCTTCGCTTGCACTCGTTCCTGCAAATATAAAGGAGTCGTTACGATACATATGTTTCTGAGAAAAAAAAAGATCAATTCTGATTTTCTGTTCTTATTTGGGGACCAGACTCGGTTGTAGGGACAGAAAGATTTGTGCAGAAGATTTCTACGAAATCAATTGTTCTCAGTTGTCTGAACCGACTTTTAAAGCGACCAAATGTTCGAGACCAAATGCTGACTCGAGAGTGCAACAAAGCAGATTTCGGTTTCAATTGTTTTCCGTTTCTTCGCGCTTGACGAGACAAGAGAGAAAATCTGCGAGTTTTCGTAGTCGCAGGTCATCGGCGGTTCGTCTCGTCACTTAAACCTGGAGGGCATGTGTGTAACACGAGACGGATGTAATGCAAGCCGCGCTATTATACGATACAAGACAAAGGTCTCGCAAAAAATACGCAGCATCCCTCTTCGCGCTGCGGCGCATGTATTCGCGGCATGTTGGTCCCCTTCTCCCAGAGCGGAGAACGAGCAAAGGCCGCACCGCGGGCTTCCACGCAGCCTTCGGAAAGGCCCCAGCCACGACTGCGACGAGTCATATCTACTAATTAGTGTGGGATAAAGTCGATCTCCTCGCGACGCGTACGTTGAGAACCGCGCAAAGTGAGTGTCATTCTTGGGATACCCGCGTGATTTCTCTCGATTAGTCGCGCGACCACTCGTTAACTCCAGCGAAAACGTGAGACGAAATGGCGTTCGCTCTTGTGCCTGAGACCCCGCCGGAGACAATGCCGTTGTAGAAAGACTCGCGTTTCGAAAAGACTCATACCTGATCGTCCACAAAGTGGACCAGATATTTCGCGGTACCGATCTAAAGTTGGATCTCTGTGAAAGAAATTTCTGAGATATTTTGTAACTTACTAAATTGAAGATTATATATACGATTTTCAATATACATACTACTTGAGATTAAAGATCGTTTAAGCAACTTTGATTAAAAGGATAATCGTTAATTTGGTTATAATGGCGTTAATTATAACGATTTTAATCTTATTTGTACGCGCATAAAGCTGAAAATCCCATAACTCTCGATCTAGGGAATATTCGGGTATCCATGACGTGGAACATTTGTGTGTACTGCAAAATGATTTGGTACAATGATGAAGATTTATAACGTGAGATAAGCTGAAAATGACGATAAATCTCGGAGCATCGCTAAGCGAAACAGTGTTTGACTGCCGTAATAACGGAAATCGCGATGTCGAGAACGCGGAACCGCGCGCGACGACATGAAAGGATAATTATTATATAAATAATTAGTGAAATTATATTTCACACAAGTGTTACGCAAGGAGCGATGTTTGATCGCGCGAAATTCAGCATCGCGCTGTATCATGGAGCACCTGCGAATTTTTAATCGAACATTATTTCCGCCTACCGGAGAGCTTGCCAGCATGCCTCGGCCTCATTAGTCTCGCTTATAATTGCGATCGTGCAAATTATTCCGGAGCGCCGGAGAGATTTAAGGTCGTGGCTCGAGTATTAAGCAGCTGAAAAAAAGCATTTGAATTGCAAACTCACATCCTGCGAGGTGTATCTCCGATTGGAGACTACTGAAAAAGTTCGTCGAATTCTCTTAAAATCAAAACTGCTTGTCGCTCTTGAAAGCGCTTAAAATGTTCCAAGTTGTGGCGTATATATTTTTCGATTTTTTGCTACTTTTTTTCGGGCAATGAGGATTCTAGGTCGATGTAAGCCAGCTTTCAAAGGCGAATTCTTGCGGGCTTTCTGCTCGAGCAACGTGAGATATATAATACTAAATTAGCACGTTGATTAAGACTTAATTCCGTTATAATTACCGCTTGGATCTTTTGCGTTGAAGCTTGCCAGCTTACTCCGTAAGCCGTGATGTGTACTCTCGATAAATGTAAAAAAAAAAAAAAAAAAGAGAAAATAACGAGGGCAGGAGGAGGAGGAGGGACGAGGGGAATGAGGCGAACGAGACGGTCGAAAGGGCCGATTAATAAATAAGCCCGTGCAATTTCTTACGGCCGACGTCACGGTTTCTTCCGAGTGGATGTTACGTCACCCGCGCGCAATTCGCCACGATGGAAGCGGCGCGAGGTTGCTCTCGCGAGATCGCCGCAACCCGTTGCGGCTGCTGCAGCACTCGGTAGCCTACCATTAAATTATGACAGACCAATAATTCCCCGACAGACATTGTTTGCGACCCGCCCGCCCGCTCGCGGGCAGCCTGAATGAAATTACGGTGATGCCTCACGTTACGCTGCCAGGGATGGGTCCGTGGCTGCACACGACGGCTCTCCTCCGACGTCTTACTTAAAAAAAAAAAGGAAAGAAAAAATGGACACCCGCGGGCTACTTAATTACGACTTTACTCCCGTATAACGAACGATCGGCTGTTTGGCGGAATTCGTTGTCGTCGGGACGGCGTTGCGAAATGATCGGGATTGCGCTGCGAATGAGTCGCGTTTAATGAGGGAGAAGCGATCTCTTCGTTCGAGCAGCTTCGATACACCGAGAAAAAAAC